ATTGGCCAACTGGCCGGGTGATATATATATTTAGTTGGACCTGTCTGTGTTTCCATATGTATTTACTGTATAAAAAGGAGAAGGTTTCAGCTTGCACTGACAGTTTTTTTTCTTTCTCTCCCTCTTTACTACACACAGCCTGTAAAGCTACATTCACATTGTAACATGATATGACTGGAATATAATCTTATTTTATGAACATAGTGATACCTCGTGTCTCATAGGCCTACTGGCCGGGTGGTATATATTTTAATCTCTCTTGTTTGTATGTCCATGTGTATGTATACTGCGTGACACGTAAATAAAATACATGTATTTACTTACTTACTTACTTTATTTTACACATGCTAGAAAAGACATGAAAGCAAGGGCCAGATTTACACACCTGTGAAATACATGTATATCCAGAGTTGAGTGTTCGTTTATTTATTAAATGTGGATAATGGTCATTTTGTGTGGTAGATCAATCCACATCGTGGAGATGCTTTTTGTTGATCTCATATAACACTACTATGCTCTTGTGGTTAAAACGTTCGCTCGTCACGCTTAAGACCCGGGTTCAATTCCCCTCATGGACAGGTCTATACCCGGCACTTATTAGAGACCCTGTGCTTATTAGAGGCCTGGCGCGTATTTCTTAAAGCACTGCTTTATCCGCAGCGGTTATTAGAGGCCCGGCGCTTAGTAGAGGAAATACGGTATTTTCCAGGGCATGTACCATGTTTACTTGGCAAACGAACGTGGCATCCACGTGTGAACAAACATTCCGAGTGAACAGTGAATACTTTCCTACGCCATCAGGCCATCCACATTCTTTTTGTTTCTCATCTCCAAACTGGTGCTGATGAGGGGTGGGCGGAAAAAAGCTGGTGACAGAAAATGACCCTCCTACAGTAGACAGATCATAAAAGAGGCTTTTCCTATTGTGAGAATCTTTTTTTCCTCAATTTTAGACAGTTCATATATCATTAAACATAAGGAAACTATATGGAATAGTTATGCTACAAACTTTAGGTTTTTTTGCCACCGGTCAAAGGCTGTCGTCCACTGGTAGCTCACTGGTTGCAGGTCCACAGTTTGTTTAATTTCCAATCGCAATACGAATTGACACGATAGACGATAACAGGAAAACGCCATGGAAAATCGGTATATTGTCACAGCATTTCCTACGACAGAACACGAGACAGTGTAAGTCTCGGGTGTCACAACATCTATGGTCGTCAGCGCAATCAAATTGGTTAATATAATGACAACAAATGCACGTGCGAAAATGAGAGGGAAACTCAAACGTCTATCATCCAAGATGTCACTATCTGATGTTTTATCTTGGTAAAAATAATTTTAAAAACGAGTACAAATATTTTTTAAGGAAACACATTCATTCAGTGTAATGTGTTAGCCAATCAGATCGCCGGAGGTATTGAAGTCAAGCGCTGACGAGCTAGTTTTGTACACTTTCGGCACAGCAACTCGGTCTTTGGCGATTTAATAAAACCCATCAAATGCATTCCCACGGAAAGCGCATGTATATGCCTCCCACAGACATCGGAGATATGGACAAAAGCTTTTGATACTTGTGAGACCTTTAAAATACGATATATTCATTGACATGTGCGTAATTGTCCGGTTTTCGATCATGTCACCGTATTTCTGTGATGAACCTTTATGTATTATAGAGTAGGGGGTGTTGATACTAACCGGGGCCTAGTTTATCGATTTTCTTACCCGCAGTGGGGGCCTGTGGACCTATGTATCTTCTTGTTTCAGTAACATTATGTTGATATTGTTGACATTGTCCGAAAGCACTCACTGAAATTTCATCTTTATGCTGATGACAATCAGTTATATCTGTCAGCGGAGCCTAACCTTGCTCAAGGTTGTGCACTGATGATACAACAATGTATTGCTGAAATAAGAGACTGGACACAAAGACTGAGTTCTTAACCATCGGATCCAGGCATCAACGTTCCAAAGTGCCTGACAGTTTATCTCTTGAAATTGGACAAGATGTTATCACGCAGTCCGACTCTGCAAAAAATCTTGGTGTCATCTTTCAATCAACAATGTCATTAGAAAATCAAATCAAATCACTCAGCAAAGGATGTTTCTACCATATCTTCAATATTAGCAAGATCCGAACCCTCTTAGACTTCAACACCGCCCAGCTTCTAACGACCAGCCTTGTTCTCTCTAAACTTGATTACTGCAACTCCCTCTATTACAACATTCCTCAACAGCTCCTTTCACAACTCCAACGGATTCAGAATTCAGCCGCCCGTGTTGTTGCCCGTGCACCACGCTACCAAACTGTGACACCTATCCTCCAAACTCTTCACTGGCTTCCTGTATCAAGCAGAATTCAATACAAACTTCTTCTTCTTACACACAGCTGCATCTATGAAAACATGTTTTCTCAATATCTTAAAAGCCTCATTCATCTCCATGTTCCAAGCCGATTGCTCCGCTCATCAAACTCCCTACTGCTTACACAGCCTCACGTCAAAACAGCCATGGGATCAAGAGCGTTCTCTGCTGCAGCCCCCTATCTCTGGAACATTCTACCACTCACCCTAAAAGAAATAGAATCTGCTGATGCTTTCAAAACTGCCCTCAAAACTCATCTGTTCAAACTCTCTTTTCCATAGACATTGTCTACAATCTTTTCTCTTCATAGCGCCATTGAGCAATATCTTTTGGAAATAGGCGCTCTATAAATCAATTATTATTATTATAAAATATTTCACGTGACAGATCATATGCTATCTAGATATAGCTTTATATTCTGATTTTCATTTTTATAACTTTAGTGTTATGTCTGTTTGTTAGGAATTAACATAGAAAATGTGTTTAAAATCAAATATGTTTTTGATGACATAAATTTCATGTAGATATGTGTATGCATTATTTATTATTGTTACAAATTTAACAGATAATACAATTACTGAATAAAGTCATGCAAGTGTAATGTAATATTAAAGTACACACGCACCATCATACAAAAATATCAGATAAAATTCACGACGAAATACCGAATTACATGAATGTTGCCTAATCGGCGTAATAAGCTATAGATTTGAGTACAAGTGCAAAAGTACACTGCAGGCTAAAAAGTGTGATATTCACAGACATCTAGTGACAGATTTGAATTACCGATTGCAAAACGTCAACAAAATGAAAAAACATAACCTGAAAACGATCAGCTGATTCCACCGCCTCTCTTCGAATGGCCATTTCGCGATTCATTAATGCAATATAAGCAGTCAAGGCTATCCCCGGTGTATCATGGAATCACATATAAAATATTTCAGGATATCACACTTGATATATCATCGGTCAAGGGAAAAGATATACTGTCCATATTCACCAGCGTGAACGTTGACGGCGATGGTAAAGGCTGCACTGGTTAACTGTCTCCAAGTGTTTAGTAACAAGAACCACTCCCATCGCGCATAAGACATGCGCTGTCAGTTAAAGGTTGGACCGTCCGGATCAGCGCTCAAAGCGGATTAGTGAAGGGAAGATAAATTAAAAAAGATCGCCCATTTAGATGCTTGAGATACTTTTCAAAATGTTATATTCTTTTCAAAGTTGACTTTTAAGACACAGTTTTCTTTTGATCGGGCTGAAATTATTGCTGTCGGCGGCATTTCGTAAAATAAATATAAAAAATTGTTCCGTCGGAAAGAACATTTGGGTCGATCGGGAGATGAGAAAGACAGAAAAAAATACGGACGGCCCAATGTTATAAAAAAAATCAGGAAACCCAGGAGAACTATGCAATAATGAAAATATCTGGGGAGAAATTATGCAAGCAGAAATGAAAATTATTTCAACAAACTATTTTGACAAAATTTCTTCTCTACTTACGCGCATTCTAATTGGCTGGGGCAATATTTCTCCAGACATGGCTACGAGAGGGGTACGGGTCTTTTTTCAGGTTACGGAAAGGGATGAGTAGTTACGAATGGGGGATGGGTAGAAGAGAGAGACTGGTTTCCCTTTGACTAAGGATGAAGCCCATGAAGTACGCTGATAGCAGCCGAGTGAGCATCTTGTCGTTTATATGTGACTTGGCTGTTCATTCATGCAAAAAGAATGCATGTATGAATTAGTCCATGAACGAATATTCCAAGCGAACGATAATGAAAAGGTGCAAAAAACAAACAAAACAAAAACAACAACAAAACAATAAAACATACAAGAAAAAAAACAAAACAAATAAAAAAACCTTCAGGTAATTGCAATCCTTGTCGGTTGATTTTGCCATTAAGTTGGTTGGTTTGCTTTGTTGTTTAACGCCGCACTCAGCAATATTCCTGCTATATGGTGGCGGTCTGTAAATAATCGAGTCTGGACCAGACAATCCAGTGATCAACATCATGAGCATCGACCTACGCATTTTGGATACGATAACACGTGTCAGCCAAGTCAGCGAGCCTGACTCCCCGATCCCTTTTGCCATTAGGAGCCACGAGTGATTGAGTGACTTTAGTTTTACGGTGGCTAAAGCAATATTCCAGCAATATCACATTCCAGAAATGTCTTCAGCGTGACGAGCGAACAACAAGCAGTTGCTGTACACATTTCGTGTCCTGGTTGATAATCTCCCTTTTAAGCTGGATCATACATAGTGACAGATTGAGCTAAATGACCATCTCAACCAACTGATATGCGCACAGTCTCTCCCTCCCTCTCCACACACACGCTCGCACGCACACACAAACATAGATGTTTACAAAGTCTTATTTCTTTGGTGTGATTTTCAATTATGAAACAGGCATCATAGATTTTTAACTTGACCTTTTTCCAAACTTTCTTCAATATTTAGTTACATTTTTGATGGTTAGATTATATGTAAAAACAACTCCTGTGACACCATGAACAATGGATGACGTCATAAGCGACAATGCGTTGACGTAACGTAAAGTATCTGTAGGTCGGACCCCCCCAATGAAATCAACAGAAAGGCGTAAACTGAGCATTCAACATGACGCAAAAAATATTTTCAAAAATTTAATGCGGCGACATCTTTGCCCATAAAGGCGTGTTGTAACGATTACGGACCGTTGCAAAATCTCAGCCAATCGCCAGATGTATTACAGAGCGATTAATTCATTAAACTTTCAAAACATCTACAACGTGTGCGCTTGGTCGGGGGAACACGGTCGTCACGGCCACTTTTGTCATACAGTAAAGTAACGTCATAACGATCTCAAACGGACCACTAATTTAAGTGTATTATAACAGTAGTTCGTTATACGTATTTCGACACGGCAAGGGGCCGGGACAAAGATCAGTTCGTTATATCCGTTACTTCGTAATAAGCGTGTTCGTTACAAACAAGTTCACTGTAGTTCTTCAGGTATGTCATCGAAATACAGCACAATGAAACCTCGACAATCCGGAACTTGTATATTTAGGTAACTGGATTATAAATACCCAGCAATGTTAACGGGGTCAAATAAACAGGAAACGTTACCGACCGGATTGTCAGGGTTTCATTGGAAATAATGTTTTTGCTATCATTTAAGGCGATTATGTCGTTCCATTCTCCACAAATCCTTCGTTTTGAACTCCAGACTTTGTCGCATCACCGTTTTTCATTTTCTTTGGATTGTCGTCCATACCCATGTCGTGAAGGTCAAGTTCAACGTTCTCACGTGCCCACGGTTGAACTTCGAACTCAGAGAAAAAAGTGAAAACGAGGGCCCCGACAAGACCGAATCCTGTACAGATGTAAAACACCGTCTGCCATTCCTCCTGTGTGTCCTGCAATGGAAGAGTAAATGATTGACGTTTCAGAAGTTGATGAATAATAAGAAAGGTATGATAATTTATGGATGACAACTTTTGTATTATACAATGATGAAGTTGTCATATTATGTTTCTTATACCGTTGTCAAGCTTGATTAAAAATGGTATAAGAACCTATATCGAAACACCGCAACATGATATGATGAAGAAGTTGTCATCCACATAGCATCACACCTTTCTAAGCAAGAGCAAATACATGAACAGGGGCGGATACAGCTTTTTGAGAATGTGTGTGTGTGTGTGTGCACTCTTGACAAAAGGAGGGGTGCACACTTCATTTTAACCCGTTTTCGTGGGTCATTTATTAAACTTTCGGGACAAAAGAGGGGGTGCGCACAAATATAGCAGTGCAAAAAATGTAGAAACGTGAAACTGAAACGGAATAGAATTCATTTTCATGCGCTTTTCAATTAATTACTCTACCAGTTCACCATAAGTGAGCGCCCAATTAATGTTCCTGGTTGTGGATGCTGAATTTAGATGTCAGGTTGCTGCTCAACTTGAAATATGACTTTCTTGCAATATCTAATGATATTTTAGAATATAGCTAATTATGTGTATGCCCACAAATAGAACCAGAAAATATACGATGTGAATGGTATTGGATTTTGATTTTATAGTTTAATAATTATGCTAATATGTGTAAAAATATAGTAAGTTGTATCGAAAAATATACAGGTTCATGTACACATTCATGACACTGTAAAAAGAGTGATGATCTATTATTTATAATGGAAGGGTGTATTCAGTAACAGACCATCACACATAATATAGCATGTTTATTATCATATAAGATTTGCCAGTAATGATCATTTATAGCTTTCATCATTATGGTGTACATGGAAGCTGTTTGTAACAGACACCAGACATACAAGGCATAATTACTTCAGAATGAAAAAGTGGGAGAGTTTGTGCCCCATCTCAGAAGGCTATAGTTATAACTTTGAAGAAAAATGATGGTGTAGAAATTATCGAAATTATCAGCTTGAACTCCATGCTCTGTCATCAATGACATTATATTTGCTGGACAAACTAGTGGTTAGAGTTGTCCCCCCTTTACAATTTGCTTGAAAGGGTCATCTGCTCCTTGTGTTAGAAGGCCAAGCAGCTGAAGTTTCTTTGATGACATACTGTTACTGAGATGAAACTGTCAAGGTAAATGATGCCTTCATATTTACTTTTTTGTAGCTAAAATATTGTGTAGTAACAAACAACAAAAAACAAACAAATGAAAACAATTTATGCCAGCTTTGGATTAGGGAATTTGTGTGATAAACATAGTCAAGGAAATTAAAACATGCAATATTGCCCCACTGCTTTCAGATTTTGCCCATAAGTATGAAGTATAAGAACCCAAAAGAAAATAATAAATTCCATTACAATATAGATTTTAAACTTGTTCCACTTCAAACACTTTTGGTTTTGAGGGAATATAAGTAATACTATTAAACAAATCTCTTAAAATTAGTACTGTAGATCAGCCCAGTGTGCTCTTAAATATGAAGTGTGATTTGCTATGAGCAGCCAAAATGAAATCAGAAGATTCCATTGATAGTAATTTTTTGGTGTTATCCCTCTTCTGGTTGAATCTGTATGTATTATACTAATATTGTACAGATTCTCTGAAAATAAGAGATATTGTCCTGTTCAAGATTCAGCCCACAATTTTTAAATGTCAGATTATTCTGTTAATATTAGATTTAGAGACATTATCCCTCTCCTGGTCAAAGGCATACAGGATTAAATCAAGTTAACTCTCTTAAAGTTGTACTAATTAATGGCCTATTTGCTTTCAGAGTCTACTTTCTACATGTCTGAAATATGATCTACTATCATCAGATTTTAAAGTTGTTTTCCTATATCTAATTAAGGGCATATGAATAGTAGTACAGTTATAAAATCTCTAAAACCTGTTGCATTGAGACTCTGCAAGTTTTGCAAGTTTCACAAGTTTCACATATGACTAAATACTATCAACAGCCAAGAGGAATCTTTGGATTCCATAATTGTAATTTTTTAGTCAACTTTACTCAAGCAGATATTGTCACCACATGGAATAAGAACCCCATAATAACTTTACCAGATAGATATAACATTAACCTAACAGTTTACACACTCACACCCATTCAGCTTGAGTCAAATAACTATCACCCTTCAAGGTCATCACGGACAGCACACAGTTTAGACACAAATCACACATTGCACAATCACTGTTTCCCTCAAAATACTAAAGGTTACTTCATGCAAATCACTAATACATTAATAGTGTACTAACAATCAACCTATTTCATACAATACATCCAAGTGTAGATTTTTAAGGAATATTCCCACTCTTGGTTAAGAACATGTGAGTATCATTATTACTATTTCATTATTAATGCTATACTATTATTTCATTCAGTATTTGCTGACAAGTTGGAATTGTTATTTACCACCATAAGCTCAGAGGAAATCTTGAAATTCCATAAACTGTAAGTTTTAAAGGCTTTATCCCACTTCGGGCCAAGGACATGTCATTCATGATAACAGTTAAAAGTCTCTGAAAATACAAATTATTGACCCAGTACATTCATATTTTGCTCAAAGGTTTGAAACGTTATTCAATATCATCAGCCCAGATACCATTTTGAAATTCCTTAAACTGTAGGTTTTTAATGCATTATCCCACTTCTGGTCAAGGGCATGTGATTGAAAATAATAGTTAAAAATCTCTGAAAATTTGAACTATTGACCCAGTACATTCATAATACGCTCACTGGTTTGAAATGCTATTCAATATCATCTCTCCAAAGGAAATCTTCAAATTCCATAAACTGTAGGTTTTAAAGGCATTATCCCACTTCTGGTCAAAGGCACGTGATTAATATTAATAGTTAACATCTCTGAACATTTGAATAATAGCCCCAGTATATTCATAATTTACTTGGAAGTTTAAAATGTTATTTGCTATCATCGGTCCAGAAAGCTTCTTGAAATTCCTTAAACTGTAGGTCTTAAAGGCATTATCCCACTTCAGGTCAAAGGCATGCGATTAATAATAATAGTTAAAAATCTCTGAAATTTGAACTATAGACCCAGTGCATTCATAATTTGCTTGGAGGTTTGAAATGCTATTTACTATCGTCAGCCAAGAAAACTTCTTGAAATTCCTTAAACTGTAGGTTTTAAAGGCATTATCCCACTTCAGGTCAAAGGCATGCGATTAATAATAATAGTTAATAATTTCTGAACATTTGAATGATAGACCCTAGTATATTCATAATTTGCTTGGAAGTTTAAAATGTTATTTGCTGTCATCAGCCAAGAAAACTTCTTGAAATTCCATAAACTGTAGGTTTTAAAGGCAATATCCCACTTCTGGTCAAAGGCATGTGATTAATAATAATAGTTAAAAATCTCTGAAAATTAGAATTATAGACCCAGTGCATTCATAATTTGCTTGGAGGTTTGAAATGCTATTTATTATCATCAGCCAAGAAAACTTCTTGAAATTCCATAAACTGTAGGTTTTAAAGGTATTATCCCACTTCAGGTCAAAGGCATGTGATTAAAGATAATAGTTAAAAAGCTCTGAAAATTTGAACTATAGACCCAGTGCATTCATAATTTGCTTGGAGGTTTGAAATGCTATTTACTATCGTCAGCCAAGAAAACTTCTTGAAATTCCATAAACTGTAGGTTTTAAAGGCATTATCCCACTTCTGGTCAAAGGCACGTGATTAACAAGTGTTTGCCACTAATATGGCAATGTGCCCCGCCGCTAAAGAACAATGAAACATTTATAACATATTGAATAGATGTTATCTTTTGGTCACATACAATATTACCTTTTATATGATGTAGTTACGATCATGATAGTATTCTATCCACTGTCACTATTAGTGTGCACGATCATGGTAGTATTCTATCCACTGTCACTATAAGGGTGCACGATCATAGTAGTATTCTATCCACTGTAACTACTAGTGTGCACGATCATGGTAGTATTCTATCCACTGTCACTATTAGTGTGCACGATCATGGTAGTATTCTATCCACTGTCACTATTAGTGTGCACGATCATGGTAGTATTCTATCCACTGTCACTACTAGTGTGCACGATCATGGTAGTATTCTATCCACTGTCACTATTAGTGTGCACGATCATGGTAGTATTCTATCCACTGTCACTATAAGTGTGCACGATCATGGTAGTATTCTATCCACTGTCACTACTAGTGTGTATGATCATGGTAGTATTCTATCCACTGTCACTATTAGTGTGCACGCGATCATGGTAGTATTCTATCCACAGTCACTACTAGTGTGCCGCGATCATGGTAGTATTCTATCCACTGTCACTATTAGTGTGCACCTCATTTGAAGGGTCAAAAACTAAATTTCAAGCCCCATGTTACTACATGTATATACTATTATCAAATTCTTGAAAACACATGGGGTCATCCTTTTGAAAATATGTATACATTCGTAAGAGATAATCTCAAACCTTCAATAGTTTTTCATTTCCCACCTTTGTCCTTTTTAACTGGATAATGCCAAGGATAAATAGACTTCATTGACAGAATTTCTCATACAAATTTCATTGAAATTCCATGCAAATATATAATTATGAATAACAACAATGATACATACAATTATAATAATAAGTATACCAATAAGACTTCCTTCACAAAGAATGCATAGCAGTGAGGAACAATCCAACACAAAAATTAATTTGAAAAATTGCAAGAAATGGTAAATTACAGTATTTTTAACATTGCAGGCTGATATTACAGAACAGTTCAGTCAGTGGTAATACATTTGGTAGAATTTAAATCAAATATTAACTTACTATTTGTGTTAGCATTTAGGTGAAGATGGCCATTCTTCTTTTTCTTCTTCTTTGAAGTTATTTCTATATCAGTGCCTGTACTATGACAACTGTTCATGAAGGAAACATTGTACAATCTGATAAA